GGGCTGGGGAAGGGAATCTCTTGGCCAAAATTTGCCCCATGGCAGTAACATCCCAGAGACCCCCCAACCCTYCTGTCCCCATCAGTGTTTGTGCTCCCTCTGCAACTGAACACAGCAGTTACTGAAAACACCTTTTATATAAGAGTAATAGTAATAAAAACAATAATAATAACAATCATAATAACAATAATTACGTATTGCAGTCTGCAGCTTCCTCCTGAGGGGCAGCTCCGATCTCTGTTTGCTGGGAGCTGGGTCAGGATTGGAGCGGACATCAGGAAAAGGTTCTTCTGTYCCCAGAGGRTGCTGGCACTGCYCAGGCTSCCCAGGGAATGGTCCCAGAGCTGCAGGAGCRTTTGGACAGCGCTGCCAGGGATGCCCAGGGTGGGATTTTTGGGGTGTCTGTGCGGGGCCAGGGGTGGCACTGGATGATCCTGGGGGTAACTCCAGTGTTTGGGGTGAAAAGCCTTTCCAGCACTTTCCCCTCCTCATCATCMACTTCACATACTAATTAAACAAAAAGGCAATTAACAGTTTCTCAGGAAGACCAGGATGTTAATCAGGTTTCCCAGTTTTCCCTTCTAGGCTGGCAAAAGCCAGGGTTGGTGCTAAAATTCCACCAGATTGCTATGGAAACACCAAAGGCTGATAATTCATTGTGTCACCCTGGGAGAGCCCAAGGGCCAAATCCATCCTGGGTGCAGCTCCGTGGGTGCCCTGACACCGACAGGGAATGACTGGGAATGTGCTGGGAATTTGGGAGCTGCTGGTGAGGCGGTGTGGGGACAGTGGCTTGGGTTAACTCTGAATTAGGATTGCTCAGCCGGGAGAAGAGAAACTTTGGGGTCACCCATTTGTGGYCCTGAAGAAATCCGGAGAGAAATTTTGGACAAAGGATGGAGGGACAGGACACAGGGAATGGCTTCCTCTGCCACAGGGCAGGGTTGGATGAGGTTTTGGGAAGGAATTGTTCTCTGGGAGCATGAGGAGGCCCTGGCACAGGGGGCACAGAGCAGCTGTGGCTGCCCCTGGATCAATGCAAGTGTCCAAGGCCAGGCTGGAGCACCCTGGGACAGTGCAAAGTGTCCCTGCCATGGCAGGGGTGGCACTGGATATTCCCTATCGTCTTTCCGACCCAAACCATTCCGTGAATCTCTGATTTTTTGGGTTTTAACGGCTCGGTGCCCCCGCGCTCCTCCCCGCCCGCAGGGGGCGCTGCAGCCCCGCACCCCCGGTGCGCCCGGAGCATGCGCAGTGCGGGTACCCTGCGGGACCGGGGCGGGGCGGACTCACCGGTGCCCGTCAGCGACGCGSACACCGGGCTCAGCCCTACCGCCTTCTCCCGGTGCTCGAGCCTCCGGGCTCGCCTGCCGCTCGGTGACACCGCTCCGAGAGCGGCCCGGGGAGCCCSGCCTGCAGCGGCTTCACCGAGCCCGGTGCCCCGGCAGCGGAAGGGGCGGACTTTTCCCCACGCTGCAGCCCGGGGCTGTCGCTGCCGGTCGCTGTTCCCCCGGTGTCGCGTCGCTGTAGTCCCGGTCCAGCCCCGGTGACACCCACGTGGTGCCGGCGAGGCGGAACAACCTCCCAACCATAGAGTCCGGGGGATAGAGCGGCGCGGCCGCGCACGCGCTGAGCGCAGGCCCCGCCCCCCGGCGGCGCCGCCCTATAAGAACGCMCCGGCTGACGTCAGCGCTCTCTTCCGCCCGCTCTGCGCTCGCCAGCGAGACAGGGCCGAGCCGCCGCCATTGCCGCGATCCCCCCGCCCCGCAGCATCCGCCGCCATCCGCCACCATGGTGAGCCCCCGCCGCCCGCCGCTTCTCCCGGGGGGATGAGCGGCCGTCGCGCTTCCCGTATCKCCGGGGATGGCGGTTCCGCGAGTGCCGCGGATCGCACGGTGGCGGCTGCGGCCTGTGCTGCCGGGCTGGGCCGCGGCTGCGGGGAGAGGGTGGGGCGGCGGGACGGGGGCCGGCCCGGGCTACCGTGTCACCCCCAGCCCCGGCAGGAGCCGCCGGTGTCGGTGCCGGGGCTGCCGCTGCCCCGGGGGGTGCGGGAGCAGCTGCGCTGATGTGGCAGCGCGGTGGTGGCGCCGGGGACGGGGCGCTGCGGTGCCGGTCGTGCCTTATGTAAC